TCAAGTATCAAGTTTAGCTGCGCATCACACTTTCATTTTAAAATTTGGGTTAGTACATTTCATTGCATGCTTACTTGTTTAAATAGCTGCATGTTGACACTGGTTATGATTTGCATGCATGCTTGTACCAGAGTGTACACCTATATATGGACTTGTACTAGGGTGCTTTTTGTCCATTCTCATTTTTAAATCAAACTTTAAATCTGAGTCTTCACAGGTTACAGGTTCATGTAAAAGTTCCATGGAAATAAGTTTGTTGATACAAAATTCTTTCAGACCTAGATGACAAAAATAATATAGTGGATTTTGGGTCAGTGTTTCATCTTTGATGTCATGTGATCTGTATAAAAGTTCTAGATCATGTATGAGAACAAAGGCCTATCAAAGTCCTAAGACAAATATTAAAATAAAAAAATGGATTAGTCCCGGTCAAAAAGCACTGGATGTATTTAATAACATTTTGTTTGTAAGTTTTATAAATTTTAAATGAAAACAACACAATTATTGATTATTTATTTATTTATTTATTTATTTAATTAATTAATTAATTAATAGTCCTGCTACCTGAAAATGAATTTAACACTTCATAACCAAATGATCTGAGCCAAACTGCATCACGATCTATTCAAAATGAATATATGCTAACAATTAATTAAAACATTTGGAATAAATTTGAGGGGGTCATACATGTATATTGACTGATTGAGGGAAGGTGCAAATACTTGAAAATGATAATTTGATTTGAATGTAGCACACTAACGTTCTATAATTAATTATATAAATTTCTTATAATTTTTTTTAAAACCATTCATGGCTTTCTGAAATGATTTGTATGTATCTGTCGGAGGCCACATTCTGAATTTGTTTATTTGTTTTTATTTAATCCTCTTTTTAGGTGTCAACGTAATATCACTGTAAATAAAAATATAATTCGAAAACCGAGTAGTAAGCACCAAACACCAAAATATTATGACGGTGAAGAGCATGGATCAGAACCGTCCTACCAGACAAAAGAAGAATCCCAGCGAGAACAATGCCCACACCCACAAATGAAACCATGGGCTGCTAATAGGACAATACCACGAACACCTTATACAAAGACTAATCAACCCCCGATGCATCACTCAGTCAAAAGTTATGGAAATCGGCAAAGTGGAAGGGGTGTTATGCCAGCATCTGGTGATTCTCCAATGAGAACTGTTACACAGTCGTCACAATGCACGAATTCTAATAAACAGCCACTACCTTATAGTAAAGAATATGGTACTCTCATCATGTAGGATAAGAAATTGAAATTAAATAGATTTTTACTTATTAAAAATTTGTATCAAGTAAATGAGTTTAAGCAAGAATTCTAAAGTTGTATTATCATTATTACATGTATTTCACCACCAGCCAATCACTTCTTTTAAGAGATTTGTGGACTGTCTGACAGTCAGCATGGGTCTGTTAAGAGCGGATATGGTTAAATTCATTGGCAATTGCTTGTACTGAGCAAGTAATTAGCATTGTATTATAATAATTCTTCCAATTGTCCCAATTTATTAGTCTCTTACCTCTGGGACAACCATCACATTCTGTGTGATGGCCAAGTTTTTTTTTGAATTTCTTCAGATATGGTTATATAATCAAAATTATTCTATTCATTTGTGTATAGTCTCATAAGCTGGCTATTGAAAGACAATGTAGCCATAAGCACACTATAATGATCTTTCACTTTGTGATACAAACAGGATACTTTTATTTCTTTTACGAAAATGAAAGTCCTCACTTTCCTGAGGATATTAAAACTCTCAAAATAAATAAAATTTGTCCATGTTATGTGAGCAGCAGCAAACCTTGAGAAGTTATGCTTTAATACCAACAATCAAAAACTGACATTTTGCATGCAGCTTTTTTTTTTTTACTGTTAAATAAAAACAAAAAAACATTTTTTTTATGCTGTAGGGAGTGATTATTTTATGTCTTGGTGCTGTATATATTTCAAATAATCAAAATTGCTTTTGTCACTTTTATCGGATTCTTCAGTTATAGTATACAATTTAATGACTGCACGTTCTGCAGGTCAGACGCACTACGTTTATTCTGCTGCCTTCCTACCAAATTAGTTATGATAAAAATAAAATAGATATTTGACTACCTGCCATTTTTCAAAGTTTAGACAGTTTTATTTTGCATAATTTTTACAGGGTGAAAAGTAAATAAATTGTCCTTGGGACATAAATTATGATATTTATAGTTTTAGATAATTTATAATGTCCACTATTTATTGCTCTCCGATAAAGAGTGAATAGTTTTGCAATAATCATTTGATTAAAAGTCATTTTTCATCACCTTTTACAAAATAAAAAGCAAAATGTTTCTACAATATTGATCAAGAACTGTAGGCAATTTGTAAATTATGACCCTTAGACTAAAAAATTATAGAAAAATGTTTGAATTTGGATGAATCAAATAAGATGAAAAAAAAACATGTGTATATTGCTGAATATTTTCTACTGCTTTGATCTGTCCTGCTATTAGTATTTGTATTGCTGTGCCAAAATGCATTATTTGATGAAGTCGCGTTTTTATTGCAGAGTACTTAAGATTTCTTTGTTGGTGTACTTACTTAATATTAGTTTATTTCTTTTCTGCAATAAAACAGTTTTCTTAAAATACCAAATCTTGCATCTGTTTATGATTGACGAGCAATTGCATTGCACAATTTATGTGAGTTATCTAGATACGGAAATATATAAAGTTTGAACATGTCTCCAGAACAAAAAAAAAATTAAAAACAATTCGTGTATGCCAAAAGCATACTATATTTACCAGTTAGAAGCACATTTTCAAATAATTGAAATATGTCTTATTTTCACATTTCTAATAGAGCAAATATGGTATTTAAAAACACAACTACAAATAATAATCTGGCTATGGTGTAAATAAAAGAATTGATATTTTGGTTATATCTTCATGTCACTGCAGTGAAAATATTAGTTATGCATATTAATTAGGTCACATAGCCATCATGTTGGTCATTTTTCTTTGCTGTCTTCATTAAAGCATTTATTGTATATGCCGATATATATATGTTTAGAGTTTTCTAAATATTCAAATTATGCGTAATAATGAGATCACATGACCTAATATGATCTCGTGCTTTGCACTGGTTGAATTGTCAAATCTGCAAATGTATTTGGAGATATTGTACAATTACTGGATTTTTACCCGAAAGCAATCTGAGCAAAGTTTCATCTAAATTTGATGGGTGGTCCCGTACTGGAGATATATGTGCAATGACTAAATTAGCTGCAGATTAATCACTTACTACACATGTATGTAGCTTGTCCCAAAGCACCAAGTTTCATTGAAATATCATCATGAACAAATCTGAGAGAACCACCTGTAGTGCATACATGTATAATATCAAAGCAATCAGACTTGTGGTATTCAACAAGGAGTTGAAAATATCAATTTTTACCAAAAATGACAAATATTCATCAAAATTAGAGAATTTAAGATATCATGAAATGCACAAATCTGAGAGAGGTCAACCTGTTGTATCTATATATGGAATATCAAAGCAATCACACTTGCAGTTTTTCACAAAAAGTCAAAAATATTATTTTAACAAAAATATTCATCAAAATTAGAGATGTCATCTTGAAATGAACAAATCTAAGACAGGTCTACCCAAGGTACATATACACAAAGCATTCAGGGAGTCGTCGAAAACATGAAAAGTTGACCATCACTCATATAAGCTGTGCTCGACTAAGTCAACAGCAGACTAATCATGTAAATTAGTATGCACAGACTTCAACCAAAAACTAACGTAGAGATAGAAGGTAAGATGTGGTATTTACGATTAAATATAAACTGAGCTATACTAAGTTGTCCATGCATTATTCTATTCCAGAATGGCAGAAATGCTTGATTTTGACATTAAAATGTTAAACATTCTGCCATCTTGAATGTCAAATGAGTACGTGTGACATGAATTGGTTAAGGCATGCCAAAGATATTAAAACAGAATGGCTGCCAGTCAGCCATTTTAATCTGATATGAAAAACAAAAAGAGGTGAAGCAAGGTTCAAAGTGTGTACCAATTTGAAGGCGATCCAGTTCCAGAATGGCAGAAATGCTTGATTTTAATATTTTTTTTTTACCCCAAATATGACTGCCATTCAGTCATAAATGGATGTGTGATGTATAAATGTGATCGAACCAGGCATGTGTAAGGTATAATGCAAACATGTCAATCCTTGAGTTACTATTTTCCAACTCCAAACAGGAGCTAAAAACACAGAATACTGTTATTTTTTTTAAATGTTTTATTTCAGTATCACAAGATGAAAACAATTTACACAAAATATACACTTGGTATCCAAGGATTATTTATACACATGATTGCATTGAAGAAATAATCCATTTCTATTTTCACAGACTGAAGAACAATAACACTCAGGTTGTTATAGTGTCTCATGATGTTAGGAGAGGTCATTTAGATGATCAATGCAATGAGCAATTTAGTGTTTATATTGCTTTTGCACATTTTAAGTTTAAAATTTCATGAAATCAAAGTTTACAAATAATGAGCAAGGTATTTGAGTAACCCAAATTATAATTTGTTATTTTCACATCATCAGACTGCTTCAGAAAAAACTTAATTTGCATCATGGTAAATTCCAGATCACTTACAATTGGTTTACAATCTTGTAGGGTAATGTCAAATGAGGCATGTTTATCAGAAAGACTTCTCAATTCACTCTGGGGAAAAACATGTATACACTTAAATCACAAGATACCAACTAAAAATATACAACACACCAGAAACTCAAAAAAAAAATATCAAGGTATTTTGGCAAAATTCGTCCTGAGTTCATAAAATTACAAAACTTAATTCAACTATGATTGGTTTATTGTTTACTTATGATAAGAAATAAAAGCTAGTTAAAAATTAAGTCTAGATCACTGAATGCTGCAACACTTAAAGTCAATTTAATAATCATGATTGAGTTTCATTCCAATGACTAAACATAATACATCTGTGTAACCTGTGTGCCAAATAAACATAATTCAACTCGTCTATGAACATAAGTGATATTGCAGGTAAAATAATTATGAAAAATTATTTCAATTCACTGTTGACAAATATTTAAGTTTATTTTGAAAACAATTTTGGCAGCAAAAACAATCTAGTATCTAAGTTTTTATGAAATTGGCAGCCTTAGAACTAGTTCAGTCTACTGTCTTCATATTTTCAACCCCTTGAATACTTTGCACTATCCCATGTATGTATGGAAACAAATTTTGTTGAAAAACAATGTATACAAGCAGAGGTACATTACTTGGGGTTTTCAACTACGGTGACATAATACCAAGATCCCGTTACAATCTCGCATAAGCATTCCAACTCAGAAAAATGAGAATGCACATGCCCGTGGTAACTAGGATACTGGGATGTCCAGGTGGATTAAAATAGCTGCTCACTATAAGATGGATTACGATAACTATATTTTTTGTACATTTTCGATGTATTACATTTTTTCACTATGAATGTGGTAATACATGTTTTATTGTTTTATTACAAACCGCCTATGTCATGCCAGAAGGTAGTAGCATCAGTCTCGCTATTTACAAGATGAGACTTGAATGGGGTCTTGACATGATGTCACCATACAGTACTATGTGTGTTGCAAACCCCAAGTAATGTACCTCTGATACAAGTTTATATTGTGATTAAAGTCGAGTGTGGTATTCAAAGGGTTAATGATTTTAATTAAAAGCTGTGAACAATATAAAATAACAAAGTATGGACATAATGGGTGGAAGTGAAAGTAAAGCTTTTAATAATTTTTCTTCACTTCTTAAGTTTAGTCCTGTGCCAAATACTAACCATAGATAACTTATAGAAGACAAGAATGAGATAAGAGTATTTTTTTCTCATTGCAGCAGTCACAGGGTTCACCAGTACAACGGTAACTAGGGTCACAGGGTTCACCAGTACAATGGTAACTAGGGTACCTACCTCTGTTCATAGATCTTGGTTACAGACTTTAAAGCAATAATTTGTTCAGACTTGATAATGAGAGGGGAAAATATCACTTGTTTTCACTAAAAGATTATCGTTAACATTTTGTAATCAGTTTTCTTTCTTTGACTTTTATAGTTATCCAAGTACTACCAGTAATATGACCAATAAATCACATTAAACCCTGACACTAGAGGGCAGTGCATAGTATACTTTCAATCATCTTCTATTAACCTTAAAAAGATTTTTTATTTTTTGTTTCAATACATAGCTATGACTAATGAAAAGAATCGGATCTATCTGGATGATGCACACCTGTGCTCCATAACTTGGGAGATTTTCTTCGACTGGGAGACATTGACGGAATATCACCATAATAAGGTGATCTGATTGGACTGCCATGACCTGTAGGAAACATTCATTAGCATTAATTTATGTAAATCAAAAAATAATTAATTTGCAAATATATGTAAATATATCTAGTATTTTGGTGACAATAGGCAAGGCATATTCATAAGGTCAGGTCAATTTGAACTACTGATATGAAGCATAAAATCAAGATTATAACAGCGGACAAAGGTTCCACTGATACGAAATGCATACACAAGGGATGAAGATTTAATATGCACTTTTAAACAGATAGAAACCACGAACACAAATAGATTATAAAATGTAGCTTTAGACAATTTTAATCTACATTGAAGAAAAGTAACTTACTATGTGGAGGAGTTGCCATATAAGGAGGTGGTGACCCTTGACCTGGTTGTAGAAATACACCAGACCTATTGAGGGCTGCAGAATGATAATAACGAGGAGCAACCAGGAAATGGTAACCTGCAAAGTATGAAATGTTACAAAATTACAACACAATTACTACATTTTAATCACATGGGAGCAGAGCAAAAAATTCCCCATTGTGTTATACCTAATGATGGCCATTAACTTGAAAATTGGTGAAAATTCATACACTGAGTTTTTTAATTTAAAAACTAGTTTTGGGACTTTGCAATCAACCTTTGGATATTACAAGTGACCTGACAGTCGAAATAGCTCCACTGTCCTACAAGAACATTGTGGTAGCCAAGTCCCAATAAAAAAAGTAGTTTGGTTCTGGCTGTTGAAAATATGTCAACTTAATTTAATCAAACAACTTGTTCACAAAAATAATGTACACCTCAAATATCAAAGCAATGAGGTTGTCTGTTCTCAAGTAGAACAAAAATAGAAAATTGAAGCTATTGAAAAATCAAGTATCAAAGCAATTGAGCTAGCAGTTTTCACGAAGAAGTTGAAAATAGCGTTTTTTTTACCAAAAATGGCAATATTTGTCAAAAATAAAAAATTGAAATGAACAAATCCTACAGTGGTCCACCCAATATACCTACATACCAAGTATCAAAGCAATTGATCTGGTAATTTTCAAGAAGAGGTCTAAAATGCAATTGTTGGCGTATGACATGCGATCACCAACATGACAGCAGAGCTAAAAAGCTGTACAACTCACATATATTACAATTCAAGAATATTCATGGTGATCAATATAAAACCAGGTATGTGTGCTCAAGTTTGGCCATCATCACTCAAAAGATGGGTGGGTTGGGGCGAAAAATTCAGACATGGTACACAGAGTGTGTGACATACTGGTACACTAGAACTGTCTTAGTCCTCAGAGTTTCATTCTCTGGCAATTTTGGATCAAACTGATCGTGTCATCAATTCACACAAATCTTGAATGAGGAATGTACTTAACTTTTCAAGAAATGTTAATGTTGATCTAATACTCACCTATGAAGAGTGCCCCAATTGTAGCCAATACAATCATAATATGATATAACCATGACTGGTAATTATTGGCAATGATTTGTACAACTCTTGCCCATCCTGCTAACTTGACTGGCTCTGTAGAAACGAATTTCATAGAAAATGTTAAGACTAAACCATTCACTATATATATTCAGGAAATATGATATTGAAATTAGAGTGGTAATTTAGAAGACTATCGAGTTATAAGTAATGACATGTTAACTCACCATGTTTTTCATCAGTTCCCATAAGGGGGATCTTTACTGGTAATAATTGAGACTGTCCGGTCAATGTGGACGTGACTTCAATGTGAACTGACACACTGCCTTGTCTGAGTGGTGATACTGTGTCTAGTAGTGTTATTGGGTAACGTTTACTGGCACCAACATCCACTCCTGTTTTCACTTCAACTACAGAGCTGTCATTACACAATACCTGTAAGAATAAATTCCATTTGCTGTACCATTTTTTTCATTATCAGAAGCATAAGTGTAAAGATGGAGCAAGTTTAATCTTTTGAACCTTTCAACTTAGAAGCTAAACATGCTCTATTTTGACACTTATGCTGCTGATAATGAAATGCTTCATGGGAAAATAATTTAAACTTTATCTTTCCATGCTTTTACATCAACTTGACATGATAAGGTTAAAGAAAAGAAAGGTAGACAGCCAGAAGAATCATACTAACCTGAACAGTGTCAAGTACTTTCTTTATACCATGCACAACAAGTTCTGTTTGTGGATGTTTATTACTTATTGTAATATCAGACTGGCTGATATAAAATGCTGGTAAAAATGGTAAACTGACAATTCTTGATTTGATCAAAGGCTGATTATCTTGACGTAAAACAGACACAGACAACTGTAATGTACTGTCTATTGTACTAAGTAGTTGTAGTGAATGCAACATCTGCATCTGAGATATAGAGCAGTAATATTGTCCTGAAATTATCAAGAAATACAATAAATTAGTTTAGAAGGTTATGGATGTAAAAAGGTATAATACAGACTGTATCAGGTTATTATGAGAATACCAACAAGTATGAAGACAGTACAGGTATTGTATCGACAATACTGCAGGGCGAAGTGATCCCGTACTGCCTTTGTGGATACTTTGTGCTATTTATGAGATAAGCTTAATATTATACATCCTTTCCTGCATCTTGTTATAATGCAATGAGATATTAACAGTCTGTGTCATTGTTGCATTCAGCAACATAATTTTATTTCACTCACCGGCCAGATTAATTTTTGCTGCGTTCGATGTTAAAGGAAAGTGTTCAAACATGACGCATGTTTTTCAAAAAAAATTAGGAAAACACCCAAACATAGTTGTAACACATATTCAAACATATCTATACAGTGTTTTACAGATGAATTACTTCATTGTTTTTGATATCAGATATATTTTTTTTTTCTCATTCATGACAAAATTCATAATTTTACTTGCCATTTTTAACATCAAATGCAGTGGTCACTCCGAAGAGATCCTGAGCTCTGATGTCTGCATTGTTGTCAAATTTTATTATACATTGAAATGGTACACTGTGTAAAGTCAATCTGTTGTACATAGACTGGAGAATCTCTTGACTACAATTGTCACCTAGTGAAGAGAGAAAAACAGAACATATATATAAAGCAACAAAAAATGATCATATTAACTGTCTATATATATCTCTAAACAAAATTTAAAATAGCAGCATTATTTGCAATAATTTTTGGCTACTGATTCTAAACGGTTTTCAGCAGGCAATGTACATGTCTATATATTCTGCATCATGTGAAAAACTTTAAATGTAAATTGTTACTCATCTGTATGAAAATGCTAAAAAAACC